AAAAAAAAAAAAAAAAAAAACATAACAATACAGAGAGAGAGAGAGAGAGAAAAAAAGAGTAGAGAGAGTGTATTCATACGGGCTTGTGTGAATTGTAACATTCGGTTTATCTTCTTCTTTTAGTTCATTCTCCTGGCTTGGTTTACCCCCAGACGTAGGATTTAATCCGAACTGGGTTAACAAATCTTCGTGTCTTTTATTAATTTCACATTGGTGTGTTGTTATTCCATCTTATCCGACCTTATTTCCCAACAACTGGTATTAGAGCCAGGAGGTTGGAGATAAGATAGAGGGAAAGATTCCAGTCGAACAGTTCAATGGTTCCGTCTTTGGATTCTGGCGAATGCAAATGGAGGCTTACCTGTATGGGAAGGACCTCTACGCACCTCTTGGGGAAAAGCCCGAGAAGATGAGCGATGATGAATGGAAGGTGCTTGATCGAAAGGCAATGAGCGCTATAATTCTTTCGCTCTCTCGGAACATCGCCTACCATGTGAAGGGAGCAAAAGGCACGAAGGAGGTCTTGCAGACACTCGACGACATGTATGAAAAACCATCAGCAATAAACAAGGTGATGCTGATGAAAAAGCTGTTCAAATTGCAAATGGAGGAACGAAAGTCAGTGGCCGATCATCTCAACGATTTCAACCAACTCACGACGCAGTTGGCATCGGTGGATATTTCGTTTGATGATAAGGTAAAAGCCCTAATCTTGCTCTCATCATTGTCGGACAATTGGGACGTGGTTGTTACTTCGGTGAGCACTTCTTCGGGCAAGGAGAAGATGAAGTTCGACAACATAAGAGACATGATGTTGAACGAGGAGACCTACAGAAATCAGGTGGGTGGGTCGTCTGGCTCAGCCCTACATACATAGTCCAGAGGGAGACCCGAAATACGAGGGAACATTCGTGGGAGGTCAAAATCTAGGGGAAGGAATAAAGGCAAGAAAGAGATGGTGTGTTGGAACTGTGATAAGCCTAGACATATGAAAAGCGAATGTCGGGCACCAAGGAAGGACAAAGAAGGCCGGACAGCCAATGCCGCGACGGAGGACACGGCGGATGCACTCTTGTTGAGTGTGAGAAGCTCGCTCGATGACTGGATCGTGGACTCAGGGGCCTTATTTCACTCTTACTGTAGCAGAGACATCATGGAGCCATATACAGAAGATGATTTTGGCGTGGTATATCTTGCAGACAACAAACCCCTAAAAACTGTAGGGAAGGGAGATGTGCAGATCAAGTCCGCAAATGGGTCATGCTGGACCCTACAGGATGTGAGGCACACTCCACGACTGAAGATAAATCTCATCTCAGTTGGAGAGCTGGACAATGACGGCTTCCACACAATGTTTGGAGACGGAAAGTGGAAGGTCAGCCGAGGAGCTATGACTTTGGCAAGAGGGCTGATGTCAGGAACGCTTTACACGGCGAGTGGATCCAGCTCAAACATTCTCGTGGCAGGAGTTGTCTCACAATGGCACTTGTGGCACAATCGCTTGGGCCACATGAGCGAGAAAAGAATGAAGGTACTAAAGTCGAGAGGACTTTTGCCCGAGTTGGAGTCAGTGGACGTGGGTCTCTGCGAGCAATGCGTGCTTGGAAAGCAGAAGCGAGTGAGCTTCATAACCACCGGGAGAGCTCCAAAGACAGAAAAACTGGAGCTCGTGCACACTGACTTATGGGGGCCAACACCAGTGACATCTCTTGGAGGATCGATGTACTACATGACGTTGGTCGATGACTGCACAAGAAAGGTATGGGTGTACTTCCTGAAAAGAAAATCTGATGCCTTTGATACTTTCAGGAGATGGAGAGCACTCGTGGAGAAAGAGACAGGTCTAGAAGTGAAATGTCTCAGATCCGACAATGGTGGCGAGTACAACAATGAAGCCATCAAGGAATACTGCGCTGATCGTGGGATCCGAATGCAGAAGACAGTCCCAGGGACACCTCAGCAAAATGGCATTGCTGAGAGGATGAACAGGAAACTGAATGAGCGTGCGAGATGCATACGATTGAAGAGTGGACTGCCCAAGATGTTTTGGGCAGAAGCAGTCAGCACGACCGCTTTCTTGATCAATCTTGGGCCTTCTGTGCCACTGAACAACAGAATTCCAGACGAGTTCTAGAGTGGTAAGAAAGTTTATCTCTCTTTCTTACGTACCTTTGGTTGTTTGGCTTACGTTTTGAACGACAACCAGACAAAGCTGGGTGCTAAGTCGGTCAAATGTACATTCATTGGATATGGGACTGACGAATTTGGGTATAGATTTTGGGATGATCAAAATCGAAAAATAATTCACAGTCGTAATGTAGTGTTCAATGAAGACATAATGTACAAGGACATGAAGGAATACCCGGACGATGACAAGACTAGGCAGGAGTATGTTGGTCTCGATATTTCAAATACCAGAATCATGAGACCAGCAGATTCAGTGGGAGCTTAGATAGATGAGAACGAGCGTACAGAAGAAGAGACAGAACTAGAATCAGAGGAACCGATTGCTGAGAGAAGCACGCCTCTGGCACTGGGCCGAGAACTGAGGATGAGAAGGGCCCCAGATAGGTACTCCATTTCTCTTTATTACCTACTTTTATCTGATTCTGGGGAACCCGACTGTTATGCAGAGGCAGTTAAAGATGCCCACAAGAGCAAGTGGGAGCTTGCGATGGACAACGAGATGAACTCATTGAAGAAGAACCACACATGGGATTTGTGTGATCTCCCACAAGGAAAGAAAGTGCTTCAAAACAGATGGGCCTATCGGGTCAAGGAGGAATCAGATGGAACAAAACGGTACAAGGCCAGACTTGTAGTAAAGGGATTCCAACAGAGATACGGTATTGACTTTACTGATGTTTTTACACCTGTTGTTATGTTAACCACTATTCGTCTAGTGTTGAGCATGGTAGCGGCGGAAAACTTAGAGTTGCAACAGTTAGATGTGAAGACGGCTTTTCTGCATGGGGATCTCGAGGAGGAAATTTACATGGTGTCGCCAGAGGGGTATAGAGGAAATGATCAGCAGGTCTGCCGCCTAAAGAAGAGCTTGTATGGACTGAAACAGACTCCTCGACAGTGGTACCGAAATTTCGATAATTTCATGCTGGAGATTGGATACTCCAGATGTAATGCTGATCATTTTTGCTATGTGAAAAGGGTTCGGTAACTCCTTCATTATTTTACTGCTATATGTGGATGACATGCTGATAGCAGGATCAGATGTCAAGGAGATCGAGAGGCTCAAGGATCAGCTATCAAGGAGATTTGATATTAAGGATCTAGGAGAAGCGAGACAGATATTGGGTATGAATATCACGAGGGACAGGAATGCTGGTAAACTTTGGCTTTCTCAATCTGATTATATTGAGAAGGTGTTGTGCAGATTCAAAATGGATACTGCAAAGCCGGTTGGAGTACCATTGGGAAGCCAGTTCAAGTTGTCCAACAAGGATTCGCCCAAGGATGACTCTGAAAAAGAAAGAATGAGAGTTACACCGTATGCTTCGGCCATCGGGAGCCTAATGTACGCTATGGTCTGCACCCGACTAGACATAGCACATGCAGTGGGAGTAGTCAGTCGGTTCATGAGAAATCCTGGAGTGATGCACTGGGAGGCGGTAAAGTGGATCCTTAGGTACCTGAGGGGTACTAAAGACCGGGCATTGGTATTTGGCAGGAGTACCCTTACCCTGTCTGGGTTTGTTGATGCTGATTTTGCAGGAAGTGATCTTGATAAGAGGAGGAGTACTACTGGGTACGTGTTCACTTACGGCGGGACGGCTGTATCCTGGATCTCAAAGCTGCAGAAGATAGTCACATTGTCCACAACGAAAGCTGAGTACGTGGCAGTGACGGAGGCAGCCAAAGAGCTTGTTTGGCTGCAAAACTTCCTGAATGAACTCGGGAGACCTCAAGAGGATGTGGCTCTATACAGCGATAGCCAGAGTGCAATCCATCTGGAAAAGAACCCCGTGTTTCACTCGCGAACGAAGCACATCGAGGTTAAGTATCATTTCATCCGGCAACTTCTAGAGAAGAAGGTGTTGCAACTGAAAAAGGTTCCGGGAGAGAGAAATCCTGCAGACATGTTGACCAAGGCGGTAACTTTGGAAAAGTTGAAGCTGTGTGCAGCTTCGACCGGCCTTGATGATTAAAACAGACAGACCCGACAGAACCAGGAGCAGAGATGAACATGTTGATCAATGAGGTGTGAGGACAAATTGAAATCAGTCCTCAAGTGGGAGATTGTTGAGTTTAGTCAACAAAGGCTGCTAACATATTTAATACATTTGGTTGCTGAAGGATTCAGCTTTGGATGCTGCACATGTGAAGCAAATGTCAAATTGTGGCTGCTGAACAGCACGCCTTTGTGGAGAAATTCATCTGTTCCTCAGCTATAAATAGAGAGGAGTGTGATGAGGCAAAATATCAACCACAACAAAAAAAACATAACAATACACAGAGAGAGAGAGAGAGAGAGAGAGAGAGAGAAAAAGAGTAGAGAGAGTGTATTCATACGGGCTTGTGTGAATTATAACATTCGGTTTATCTTCTTCTTCTAGTTCATTCTCCTGGCTTGGTTCGCCCCCAGACGTAGGATTTAATCCAAACTGGGTTAACAAATCTTCGTGTCTTTTATTAATTTCACATTGGTGTGTTGTTGTTATTCCATCTTATCCGACCTTATTTTCCAACACCCTGGAAACAACTGTTTACATTATGAACTTTGTACCTTCTAAATCAGTGCCATCTACGCCTAAGGACTTGTGGACTGAGCGTAAACCTAGTCTAAGACATATCTGTACATAGAGTAGTCCAGCATATGTGTTGAGGGCAGATACTAATAAGTTTGAACCATTTTGAAAGTAAGGCTGTTTGTGGATATTTCAAGGCATTGAAGGTAGGACTATTCTATAGTCTCGAGGACCAGAGGGTGATCGTTAGTACGAATGCTCGGTTCTTGGAAGAAGACTATGTTATGGACCATAAGCCCAATAGTAGACATGTCATAGAGGAGATAAAAGGGGTTGATACTTAAATATCAAGTGCACCTAAGTTACACCATATAATACAGCACCACGTGTCACCGACGATGCACTTGTGCTGGTAGTGCCTCGTCGTAGTGGGAGGGTTGTCAGGCAGCCCGAATGATTCATGTTCTGGAAGAATCTTCTGAGACTATCACAGATGGACTTGATATCAACCCATGGACCTACGATGAGACACTCCAAGATTAGGGCGCAAAGTCTTAGCAAAGTCCAATGGATACTCAGATAGAGTTAATGGACTCCAATCAGGTCTGTGATCTTGTAATGCCACCCAGTGGTGTTCGGCCCATTTGATGTAAGTGGGTCTATAACAGAAAGAGAGGATCATATGGAAAGGTTGAGACCTTCAAGGCTAGGCTTGTAGCGACGAGCGTCAAAATTTTGTGCTAGACGGGCATTAGAATAATTTCAGTATATGTTGCTTTTATAGTAGTATATTTACAGTATATGTTACGTTTCTATTTACATGACATATCTAATACTATTGTGATGCTTTAATTTTGTTTATGCTTTTTATATTTTTACTTCAATTTTATACCAATGATCTATATATCATTGATATGTATCATCCTTTATAAGCGCTATTCAGGATGTAAAAAGTTATACATATTAGATTATAATTCTTTTTACTCAATGAAAAATTCGGTTGATACTTGGCTTATAACCTATATTTATTTATATAACATACAAGTATGTATACATAATTTTTATTTTTTATATAGAAGGGGAGGAAAGTAAAATAGATTTCATTTTGATGGTTGTTAGAATCTTAGATGTGGACTTATGAAAATAGAAAATATAAAATAGGTCTTACGTTGGTGAATGCCTATATAACACTTGGTTTATAACATGTAACTACCTACATAACATATATCTATACGCAATTCATGAATTTATTGCATTTATAGTCAACAAACTCGTATCAGAAAAAAAAAATGATATGAAATTCAAATTTCAAATTTTAGTGTTTTCGAATTCAAATTTCAAAATGCTATTTTTAGGATTCTATATTGGTTCAGTTACCGAACTGATAATGTCGGTAACCTCGAAATGTAAAACTACTACCGAACCGATTAAAGTCGGTTACCGAATTGCACAAATAAAAAGGCTAGTATTTACTTTTCTTGTCAATTTTGTAATTTTTTCACTAATTATCAATTAAATACACACAAAAGACTCACAAATTCGTTGAAAGGTTAAAAAAGCTTAAATTTAATATATAGAAGTTAGTTTAAATATAATTAGATTATAGTTTTTGTGTTAAACGCAATTAATAAAATAATATTTTTTTCCAAACGAATAAAACAATATATTGTTGAACATGCAAGAAATAAAATTTGTGATACAACTTCAACTAACTTATCTAGTAACGGCGGTACGAGAATAGACTACAGTAACGGTAACATCTTCTTAGAAGGAGTGAGACTGATAAACCGACAATGTTTCGATGAGAAGGCAAATGAGGCGATGGGTAGTGGTATTTTCTCGTTATTTTTAGATTTAGGTAAGGTTGAGCCCTTATTTCAATTTTTGAACACTAAATAACTAATTCTTGTTTTAATATTTAAAAAAAAAAATCTTTGTTGTAATTTTTTTTACCCTTATCGGTTGTGTATCGGTTGTACTGAACTCTTATAGGTTCAAACCGATACCGAACTGATAGTGATTCGGTAATCGATAGTCGGTTACCGTTACAAGCGGTTCGGTACGGTTCGGTTTATTTTCTCGTCGGTTTGGTTTGATTCGGTACGATTTTCGGTTAAAAAATGTCAGCCCCACTTGTGATCGTATTTTCCATGTAATGCCAATTTTTTTGCTTATTGAATTTATGAATTCTATTTTAAGGTCATTAAGAGAGAATAATCATGTAAGTAGTAACCATATAATACTTCTTTTTATTATCTAGTAATTCTCGAAAGTAGATGTGCAAATAACTTTTCATTTAGTATATCTGCAATTTTTTTAGAGAAAGACACACCATGAGCCTAAATCATTCCTACGTAATAACGTAAATATCTTATTCAATGGGGCTGAGCCCAGCCCAGCCCAGACAGTCAAATAAACACATAAAACACATCCTGCAGGCCCAAGACAAAGAAACTCCCGCCAAATCACAAAACCGGCTACAGCCAGTTGACAAAGCATTAGCCGGTGACCTATATAAATAGCGGCAAAAGCAGGCAGACACACGACCTTTAAAGCTGAAAGAACAACATTTTCGGTTGCTCTCCTTCAATATACAACCGGTTCTTGCTGCCTTTCATCCTTGTCGTCGTCGTCTCCATTTTACAGTGCCCTTTTCCCCCTCCCATGAAGTTTGCTTCACTTTCAGTTCAATCGGGTGCGTATTTGAGCAAGTGCGAGCCGTGCTGAGATTCGCGCCGCGGCCTTTGTGTTTGGCAGAATGAGTGCGATTAACATCACCAACGTCGCCGTGCTGGACAATCCGGCGTCGTTTCTGTCCCCTTTTCAGTTCGAAATCTCGTACGAATGCGTGGCATCTCTTAAAGACGGTGATGGTTTTCTTCCTTTTTTTTGGCAACCTTGTGTGTTTTTTTGCCGTTGGCTACCAGAGAAGTGTGTTTATCTGTTGATTTTATATATATTTTGTGCGAGGAATTTCTAGGGTTTGTTGTTTCTTGAATTCGTGAATTGGGATTCTTGTGATTTGCTGTTTTTTGGTGCTTTTTTTTTTTTTTTTATTTTTGGAACTGTGTTGAATTCTATAACATTAGTCAGAAGCTTATGTTAGCTGACAAAGCTGTGGATGTTGTGACGAAGGTACAAAAATGGGGATTAGGGTTTTGCAACTGCCATGTTGCAGAAGATGATTTTGGCAAATAATGAATAAATAGCAAACATTGGCCAGATGCTACTGTTATAATATAAATTTTTCATTTGTTTGAAAAAATAACAGAGAATAAAAATGGACTGTGGGATGAACTTATCGAAAATATTCATTTCTCGAACAGAACTTGGAGAACAAAGGACTCATCAACTACTGATTGTCTGAATAGTATTTGATGATACCTTATAATATGTATCTTGGGCTAGTTGGTTGCTATTCGATAGTACCATTTATCCAGCTCTGATAATGGTGAGTCCAGTGGTTTTGATAAACATATTTGGTACCATTCATTGCTGTATGGTACAATCAGAGCATATTATTTGAACACCTTTTGTCAATATCATTTCCCAGGTTGCATCTTTCATAGGGCTTTTAAACTTGAATATATTGAGCTTCAAGTGGCATAATTAGATAACGGATCATCATTTGTTATCATACACAACCAAACCTTTACAAACTGTTCTAGATAGCAGGGGCCACGGAGATAGTCCTTTTTCCATTTTGTAGGCTCATTTGTTATACTATAGCCACCTGGATGAACATCTACACAAATCAAATATTTATACCTGGGTAGCTCGCCGGATATATGTCAATTACTTCATTGAAATCTCTTCTTGATTTATGTAGAACTCTGAACCCAGAGCTACTACCTATTAGTAAGTAAGGGTCTTATTCATCATATCTATCAAATGTTACACGAGGCTTATTATCTGACAGTACAAGCGAGACAGACAGATCCTTCTATTTCTAGTGAAATTTCAGAACTAAAGATGATAGTCGGGAACCCATTTGTCCATTAGCCCATGCATAGTTCACATGCACAAGTAAATGAGTAGTGTATCTACTATCAAGTATTGACTTGGAAACACCTATTTGGTACTATCTGGTTAAAACCAACATATCCTTTTGTGAATGTTATAAAAATTCGGTTGAGAGAATGAAAGCAAGATCTTACAATAAACACTGAGATATTATACTCCATGCTGAACAGTGAAAATAAGGAAATAGTGAGGATCCGAAAACGTTACTTTCAAAGGTCTTTTGCTATTTCCTATATCTTCTCCTTAGATCATCACAGACAGCTTTTAAATATTGGACCATACCGGCCGGTAATACCTGCCTTTGGTCTGGTAAAAATGAACGCAAAATACCGGATTTATGGTAATACTTGATTGTGTCGTGGTTTTACCGGAAATGTCGGGTAAAATACAGAAAATTCCGTTGAACAATAAAAATATTAAAAAAATATATATAAAATAAAAGAGAATTTAATTATGGACTTAAAAAAAATAAAAGTTGATTTTGTAGTCTTATTTTATTTTATTCAGAAGTTGAGACTTAGTAAATATAGTTATTTATTTATTTTTCTTTTTTTCCATACTTGATATTAAAATTAATTTATGCTATTATATCTACTACTTCAGTAATACAGACGATATTACCGGTTGACCGGTAATACCATGCTACATGGTGGCTAGGCCAATATGAATACCGCTACTGTATTAAAAACACTGATCACAGGTAAAAAAGAAAAATGTTACCAAAGACCGATAGATACGCACAACGTATTTTGCGTTTTATAGTGATCATTTGTAGATGAGTTGGTAGTGGTTTGCCTGCAGTTAAAAATGTAAAGAAACAATCAGTTCCAGAGACGGTACAGGTTGAAGAAATGGATTCCAGCTTCCTCTTGGACATGCATGATGTTCGCGCATGATCATTCTTTGCTAAATCATAAAATAACTTATGCAAATTAGTATAGCATTAGCAATGATTCTTAATATGATGAATGCTTTACTTCTAAAATCTGCATCTGCCCAGGGTTTGCTCGAATTGCGAGTTTACTACCTCTTTCCTGTCCTCCTTTAATGCTTTTATGATTGTTTAGCATGATATTTCCCATTTTCTTCACCTCTAGCTTTTATTGCCTCACTTCCATGATGATTCACCATTGATGCCATATTAATATATGAAATACAATTATTTATTTACTTTTAAAGTAAACTCTCTTGTCCATTCGACTTTCTAATTAAGAAGTTCTCTGCAGATTTGGAATGGAAGCTCATATACGTGGGATCTGCAGAGGATGAGACTTACGATCAACTCCTAGAAAGTGTCCTTGTTGGTCCTGTCAATGTTGGAAATTATCGTTTTGTTTTGCAGGTAATGATGACAACTATATGTCTTAACTGACTATAATTTGCAACACGTGCGTTTTTAACATTTCCCTTGGAATCAAAATCAGGCGGACCCACCAGATCCTTCCAAGATTCGCGAGGAAGACATCATAGGTGTCACGGTGCTTTTATTGACGTGCTCTTACTTGGGTCAAGAGTTTGTCCGGGTGGGCTATTACGTGAATAACGACTATGATGATGAGCAGCTCAGAGAAGAACCTCCCCAGAAAGTCTTGATCGATAAAATTCAGAGAAATATACTATCTGACAAACCAAGAGTCACCAAATTTCCCATTAATTTTCACCCTGAAAATGAGACTGGAGAAGAAGCTTCTCAACCTAAGCATCCTGTTGAAGCAGATGGGTTTGAAGAACAAAAGCAGCCTTCACCAAATCGTCCTTCAGATATTGAAGGCCCTAAAACATGAAGCCTTTGTTTTTGGTCTCAGTTCTTTGGTTGGTTTCATGTGCTGATTCTCTTTAGGCGTTTTTATTTGTTTTAGTGTCGTTTGCGCTATTGCACTGGCCAAGGACTTAAACCATGAGCTCTCGTGAACACAAGCTCGGAAGTTTTTTAGAATATTCAATTTGTAAGTCCTCGTTTTGCTGTCTGTCAGCATCAAGCAATTAGAAACAATAATTTGTTCAGCCAGCACTGGCACATATAGCCATTTTTACTATTTGTATAACTCTAGCATCATAATCTTGAGTTATCAATCAAGTGCTAGACGATAAATCCAGAGTTGCTATGCATAATTGGCATTGTCATCTGTTAATAAGCTATATTGGAATAAACATTAGCTCAGTCTATATTGAAATATTTTTATCAACTTGTAAGTCGAACATTCCAAATTACAACTGTAAATTTTCAAGAATCCCGAGCACTTAGACAACATAGGAAGACGAATCTAAAAGCAAAGCAAAGAGGTCAGTCTAATGTTTTGTAGGATTGAAGCCTCAATCCTCTTTCGATGGAAAAAATCGAGACATTTTTCTTTTGTTCGGCTAGCATTCATTCATTCTTCCCTTTCTTCATCCGCTTATCTTTCGATGGTCTTTGTTTCCCCGACTTTGTTTCCTACCATGATTCGTACAGATTAGAAAGAGTTCAATAATTTATGCAATTGCAAAATTACTTCAAGCAGATGTCATCTACCTGTCCTGATCTTTTCCGATGTTTCCATGGTCCTTTTCTCTTTTTCTTTGGCTTGGCCGACTCCTGGGAGGGTTATTTTTATTTTCGTACATTAAATTTGGGAAAAAAATGGTACATTTTTTATTTATCCACAACTGAAGGATATGATACCTGTCCATCTCCAGAGACGGCTGTTGTAATGGGATCATCAGAATGGGTCTCAGCTTCAATTTCCCCATCATCGTTGAGCATAAGCTTAAGTCTTCCCTCTTTACGTAACTTCTCAGAACGGGCATGTCTCTGTCAAGAAGATGGGAAGAAGTTATCAGCACTCGAACACAAAAATCATTCCTAAGTGATGGCCGTGATAGATATCTAAATATAAAAAATATTCCCTCAAGATACAATGGAAATAGGAGAATTTTATTTAATATCCTAGCAAGCAAAGCGCATGCCTTTACACACACTGGTACAGTTTCAGTTTGTCATTTATGAGGCATTTTCGGTCTACTTGTGTTCTACAGTTTCTATAATGTAGTTCCTTTTTTACATAGCATTGAGCATAAAGGTCGGCGGATTTATATATTTATTAATAAAAAAATAATAAGTGGACAAAAAACAGGAAAAAAGGAGGGGAGTGGACCAACATAAAAAGCACGTATTTACAAAATACGTTTTTCTGTATAATTTAATTAAAAAACGTATTCACTGAATACGTTTTTCACATTTTTTTTACAAAGGAAAACGTATTCACGGAATACGTTTTCCAAATAATTTTTTCAAAAGCCGTATTCAAGGAATACGGGCTTTTGATTTCTTTCAACCTCCTCCTTTCTTTCTTTTTTTTTTGTCCACCATTTTTCTTTTTTTTTTTTGCCGTAAAAAATTCCATAAAGGACACAACCATGGCACAAATATTCAGTCTGCTGACAAAATGATTCAAACTCCAACAAAAGATATAAAGCTGAATTCTGTTCGCCAATTCGTCTTTTCTTGTTTTGACATGGTGAAATAGAGAGAAAAGAAAGATATCCACAAATCAGAAGTTAAGAGAAGAATCGAAAGGAAAGAGAAGTGTGTATTAAATAGCCAAATCTAGAAATCTAATCATACTTTACGAACAGAAATTCGCAAGAAACTATATTTGAGGGATCACAACCAGCATTATGCATGTTAATAACTGGGTTTGGAAAATGTGACAAAGGAAATGTTTTTACTTGCCTTGGAGTTCAGATGAGCCTTTAAGGTTTCCTCAGACAGACAGACAATCCTAGGGCATAGCTTGCACTTGAAAACTGATTTACACTTTAAAACACAGTCCGTAGTATCAATAAGAGCCTTGTTAGGACCCTGCTCGACCGCGGCAAGTATATTGTCCACCCCACCATTTTTCCTGCTGTCTTGAGCTATCACATCATCGTCACTCGTAGGTAAACCTGCAAATACAAATTCTATTTGAATAGAAGAAAAAAGGAACAATAAAACTAACCAGAGAATGAATACGAACAAGAATTAGGGAACTGAAAATCTGAGAAGGACTATGTAATGGAGATAATGATTAAAAGAACAACCATGAACCTAATTACGATGAGACATTTAAACTGCTAAGAAAAGTCCGGGTAACCTACAGATGATGGCATGCAACGTGAACAATGAATATGCGTTCATATTGCGACCACCAGTAGTTTCAGTGGTTTTAAGTTAAATATGCCCAACAGACAAGAGCAAGAATAAAAGGATTCTAGTAACAAAAACGGTTGCATCAATGTCAAGAACAGAAGAGAAACTCAGAGATACCAATAGAGAGACATACCCCATATGGGGATTGCTCCAAATGGAAATTAAACATAACCTGATGAGTCAAGATTAACTTCATTGGCTGAACTATCCTCGCTCTCATAACCTGAAGTCGTGAACAAAAAAAAAAAAGGGTTAACAAATTCCACAAAAAAATGAGTTTCAAACATACAGCATTGAGTATCACAGACTAGCTCATCAACACTTTGTAATAGTGAGGCAAAACAAACTACGAGAAAAACACACGACAAAATCAAGCAATTTTCTTTCAAGGAGCCATCTACGGCTTCAGCAATGTAATTGACAAAAGCCATTAACTTCTTAAAATCACACAAACCAGAAGAAGACGAAGCTTCTCCCTTTTCTCTATCATCTGACCCAGCATTTCCTTTTTCATCATCTCCTTCTTCTTCTTCTTCTTCTACCTCATAATCATCGTCGTCTTCAATATCCGTTTCGTCTGCGGCATCCCCTCCAACTTCAGAGTCATCATCGTCAGAAGAAGACGATCCAGACGGATCATCCCTGTTACCATGTTCCATCCTATAAAACCTCCTTTTTATCATATTTATCACCTTTTTCTTTCGGTTTCTTCTCGACTGCAAAAATAAACAAACGAGAGTAAGCCCAGAAACAGACCGACAACTGACAATGCAGTAACTAAGTTTTGGCAGTAAAGGTCTCATCTTTGACCCCTATTAGTGTTTTAGCCACAAAGATTACATGGAAACAGCTGCAATTTAATCCCCAGACAAGATCTTTCTTGTAATATAACCAATTAATTTGTTAATTGTTTTCTTTCAAGGAGGCAATAGCTAACACAAAACCAGAAAGACTGAAAGACGAACAAATTAAGAATGAAATTCGAAAGGCGTAGCTTAAAATGACTGCCATAAACTCGACCCCTGAAACCAAACAGACATGCCCCATGTAAATTGAATAAAAAAGCTCATTAATTTCAATTAAAGAAACTCGAATTTTGCTGGGAATAACTGGTCGACATGGACTGTTATTACAAACCTGTTAACACAAAACAAGATCCAGCGAGAGAGAGAGAGAGAGAGAGAGAGAGACCTGAGACTGGAAGTAGGAGTAACGGCTGCGGCAATACGTGAAAGGAAGAGGGTTTTTTTTTGCGCTTGAAAAGGGTTGGGATCAGTACACCTGCATAATCTGGTTACTGCCACGTGGTCGTTTACTATAAGCTGTATAATTAAAAAACATTAATTAATATTATGTAAAATTTAAATCTATAGATATGAGATCAGAATAGTAGATAGTGAAAGAAATAAAAATATATCTACACCATGTGATCAATAATACCGCAATCCTGCGTCTGCACCTCGCGGATTCTCCCATGAGCCCGAGAGTGGCGCAATCCCGATGCTCAGTACGCTCGCACGCTCGCGGAACCATCCGCGCCATCGAGAGTGGTCCATTGCTGCACCCCCGCCACGCGAATCCGCCCGCGACGTCGAGAGTGTGTTTCCCTCGTGCCGTCGCCCGTGTCTGCCTGCGCCAACACCTGTGCGCGTCCGTGTGCGCCCATGCCACTCGATGCCCGCGCCTAGCGGAAATTCCCGCAACTTCGAGATTGTTTAGTAAATGTGCGTTTTTCTGCTGTGTGTTTGTGTTGGAGTATAAATACAATTGGTCCCCTTTGCATTTGGATTATCTAGCATCATTATGAAACTTTTCCTTTTTGGTACTTAGCTTAAGTTTTATGTTTTCTCTCTAGCTTATGGAACTTAAATCAATTTCTCGTGGTTTTTCTGGCGACTTTTTGTTCAAGTTCCGAGATTTTGACTCCGATTTTCATCTACTATCCAATAGAGGATTGGATATTTATCTTTAAAGCTCTTTACTTCGATTTTTGCCTCGTTTTTACTTATAATGCTTCTTAAGGTAAATGTGAGTATTGTGAATGATGGATGCAAAGTTGGAACTTGGTTGTTTTTATTGTTTGCTTGAGTGTTTTTAGGGGTTAATTACTTGCCTATCTAGAAGGGTCGGGACTCTATTTAGAGCTTAATCACTTAGAGTTAGAAGGTTAGAGTTAATTACCTAGTACTCATAGCTTGCATATTTATCTTTGTTATTTGTTTTCTTTTTATTTCGTCAATGACATGAGACTCCGATAGTTCGATTTCGCTACTCATTCGTTATTTGCTATTGCTCGTAATTAATTGCTCGTTTAAGTGTTAATTCAACTCCAAACCATTAATTAGAATATTTAGGATTTATTTTCTCTTTTTTGTGATTTGGACAATTAAATAGTAAACCAAGCTCCGAATAGTATTCCTTTGAGAACGACCCGAGTCGGGTAGCTCGGTTACTTCGTGCCCAAAAATCTACAAAACAGTTAGTGAGAGAATATATTATTTATTTTACAAGCTAGCCATGACATGCCTATAATTAATGTTTTGGCTAAAAAAATTAAAAGAGGCGAAAAATAGATTATAACCCTGTTGTTGTTCAAACTTAACGTTGATTATAAGAGGTGGAAAATAAATGATAACCTTATTACTTTTTAGACTTAAACACACAGAGCCTATAAGAATAACTTATTTACTATTTATGTTTCGTGCATCGCAAAAGTACGTACTAGCTAAAATGATTAGAGAATGTCTTTATTACATGGGTTATCCATGTTTCAACGAAACATACTAAAGACACTGATAGCATAGCAATGGGACAATATCAGGCCCAATATGTGCAACCAAAATTTATTTTTAAAAAAAAAAATTATAATGTAGAAAAATGAATAAATTATATAAATATAAAAAAACATAATCCAAAATCATAAAAAACATGAATCATGTCTCATGTAGATCGCTCGTGCACTTTATAAGTATTAATAAACGAGCCGAGCTGAAATGTGTTCATTTACTTGCTATGTTAACAAGATCGACTAGACTTGATTACACCTCTATTTGTAAAAGCCCGATTCACTTCGACTCATTTAGTCTTATATGAATATATTAAACAAAGACAATCGATGTTTACAACTTTATTTCGTATATATCCATCCAAATTCAAGTAACATTTCAATTTAAATTGGATTAAATTTACAATACAAAACCACGAGCTTTATGATTTTGGCTAATAAAAATCCATCTTTATAGGAAATTACAAACGCATATATAATCTTGTGCTGCATCCTCAAACCGCAAATCAACCTTGAAGTTTTAATAGTGGAAACTAAAGTTTAGCAATCATGACAATTCTAATTAATTGACTAATATACGACTTTTTTTTAGTGGCCGAACAATTCACAGTATAGTCGTAGCAGCATCACTTTATGTCATCGAGCTGCATAGCGATCCGACAATTCTGATTATAGCTACTATTAGGACTGAGCATGAGACTCGGAGAATTCTGAACCGTTCCGAAAACTGAACCAAAATCACTCCGAACCGAAAAATAACCGTTGACCGTTTGACTTTCTCCGAACCGAACCGAAAAAATAATTGGTACGGTTCTGGAGATTTCACAAATATCTGTACCGAGAACAGAACTGAATCGTCCCGTACTGTACCGAACCGAAATTAAGAACTGAATTATAACATTAGATGTGTTATTAATATATTTTATGTCAACTTTGATTCTATATAATATAATAATAAATGTTAATCTTCACGTAAATTTCATGCTTAGTAATACTTGATCTACAATTAAATTTTTTCTATCATAAAATAATTATTTAAAATAATATGAAAGTTTAAAGAATATTTTTTTTTAAAAAAATAATTATATTTATTTGAATTTTAAATTTTCTATATTAGTTGTTCAAATTTAGTTATAACTAAAATTTAGAGTTACATATAAAGTTGATTTCAAAATAAAATCTTTAATGTGAGGAAGTACTGATGAATGTTGGTTTTGTTAAAGCATATAAAAATTAAATAACTAAAATTTAGAGTTACTTCTAGAATTGATTTCAAAATAAAATCTTCAATATGACGAATTATTGATGAATATTGTTTTTTAAAGCATATAAAAATTAAAATATAACTAGGTAATCATTCAAAAATAATTTAAAAAAATAAAAAATCTCCAAAGATTCGAACCAAATCATACCTTACCGAAACGAACCGTCCCAATAGTCCGAATACCGAACCGAATCGAACCGAACCGACTTTTTGATACGGTTCCGGAGAACGAATTTTGAGATCTCCAAAGTTTGGTACGGTTCTAAAGATTTATCAAACTCCAAACCGTACCGACTTACGCTCACCCCTAGCTACTACGACATCATATACAACTTCAGTTTGATGAACTACAAATATAATTACTTTATTTCAGTTTTTGATAACAAATCAAAATTTGAGAGAAACATCAAATAAAACAATAGCTTTAATTATTTTTTCATACAACTTTCTCCTTTTTTTTTTTTTTTTTATACAACTTTTTCTCCCAAGAAATATAGCAGTTGTCGTCTTATGCACACAGCTAGCTAATCAAATACGCCACTCGACCATCCCTTCTCACTCCACCTGCCTGATTCTGCAGAAAAATAACACAACCTTCTGCCCTCGGAAATGGAGGCGGGAGCACCTCTGCTGGAGGCGTCAGGCGAGAAGGCGAGGCGGTGGCGGGCGATATCAAAGGAGCTGAATCGAGTTAACTTCATCGCGTTGCCGATGATTGTGGTGACCTTATCGCAGTACCTGCTGCGCGTGTCGCCCATTTTCATGCTCGGCCATTTGGGGGAACTTTCTCTCTCTAGCGCCTCAATTGCCACTTCTTTCTGCAACGTCACCGGATACAGCTTGCTGGTAATGCCTTCCCTCTGCTCTCTGTTTCAAATTTATGGTCTCCACGTGAACATATTTCCTTGTAATCAATCAGCAAATGTTAACCCATGTAGCAGAAAAGAGCTGTTTCATCTTGTTTTATGTAGATTTAGATAGCCCCTCGCTTATATTTCAGTTCTATTGTACTCGATTTATGCATTGATGGGTGGCAAGCAGTTTGGGATGTCTAGTGCTTTGGAAACTCTGTGTGGTCAGGCGTACGGTGCAAAGCAGTTTGAGAGGGTCGGGACTTTTACGTATGGGGCCATCTTATGCCTGTTTATGGTGTGCATACCGGTTTCCGTCCTGTGGATTTACACGGAGGAGGTGCTAGTGTTCATGGGCCAAGATCCTCTTATCTCTTCCCAATCAGGAAAATACGCAATCTTGTTGATCCCTACATTGTTTCCTTACGCCATCCTTCAGTCGTTGGTTCGGTACTTGCAGACTCAGAGTTTGATCCTCCCGATGCTTTGGAGCTCGTTTGCTTCCCTGTGTTTTCAGCTGCTCCTCTGTTGGGTTTTCATATTCAAGCTAAATTTGGGGAGTGCAGGAGGGGCACTTTCCATTGGGATGTCTTCTTGGTTTAATGTCATCTTGCTCGGGCTCTATGTGAAATTCTCTCCAAACTGTGAGAAGACAAGTGCCACTTTTTCAAAGGATGTTTTTGCAACTATGGGGGAGTTCTTTCGGTTTGCTATCCCCTCGGCTGTCATGGTTTGGTAATTTTACTTGCCTCGATTAGCTCTTGTTGCGTCACCACTTTTTAGTTTGTACTTCACGTATATCCACTTGAAACATTCTAAAGTCCATACACAACCTTGAATTTTGTATTTGGTTTACAGATACCTCGTCCCATTGGGTGAATTTTGCAAATAGGAACGAGCAAACTCAAAGTTTATTTTTCCTTTTAAAAAAAATTGGTATAATAAACCTGGGGTAGTATTTGTAATATTCTGTAACCATCTTTATGTATTTTTATCCGTCTCTCATGTACAACAAATTCCAATTGCTAAAAATGTCTCAGCCTGGAGTGGTGGTCATTTGAGCTAGTAATATTGCTTTCGGGAGTGTTGCCAAACCCACAGCTGGAGACATCAGTTCTTTCCATATGGTAATTTTTCTTTCGATCACACCATAAACTTTGTCAGCTATTGTATATACTGTTCCATTGTATAGCTAGTCATAATCACGTGTACGCTACTTTCGTGCAGCTTCACAATTACTTCATTGCACTATCACATCCCTTTTTCATTTGGTGCTGCCGCAAGGTATGTTCTTTACCACCACGACTTATATTTCCACAAAAAACCATCCTTAGCACAAGATTTCGGTATTCCCACCCTTTTTAATGTGCATAAATGCCATCTTCAGCACTTTAGTATCAAACAAGCTGGGAGCGGGTAAACCGGAGGCAGCCAAAGTCGCTCTGTGTGCAGTTTTGGTTCTTTCGGTTTCGGAGTTTCTCTTAGCCAGCCTTACTATCTACATTTTTCGTGGCAAATTAGGATATGCATTTAGTGGGGAGAAGGAAGTCATTAGTTACATTAAAGACATGGCTCCTTATCTCTGCCTCTCTATCATCATGGACAGCTCACAGTCTGTACTTTCAGGTCATTTTATCTGCAATTTGTTTACTAAAAGATCAAACTTGACCCTATTAACCGAGTCCATTTTTTAAAAATACTGTTTTTATTAGTGATGTTATTGGTTTACAGGAGTGGCTAGAGGTAGCGGATGGCAACATATAGGGGCTTACGTGAACTTGGGATCTTATTATTTGGTAGGCATTCCGGTGGCTTTGCTACTCGGGTTCGTTTTTCACTTTAAAGGCGAGGGTCTATGGACTGGATTGGTAGCAGGGGCCACTGTACAAGCACTCTCACTATCACTAATAACCACTCTAACAGACTGGGAAAAACAGGTACTTCGCTTTTCCTTTTCATTCTTTTACCAAAATTTTAGTATGGGTCCAAATAAAAGGAGATGCTATGGTCTCGTTACGGTATCATTCCGTTGGCATTTATAACTGTTAGATCAACTATCCCCGATAATTACGTGATGATCTAACCGTTACAAACTCCAACGGAATGTTGCGAGTAAGTCATGCTTAGATTTTTTTAGCCTTTTCAACCACTCAGAGTTGGATTTGTATTCTCTGCAGTCAATGCAAGCAAGAGAGAGAATTTTCGCGGGGAAACCTCTACCTGACGACCAGTCTGCTTGAGAGGGATTGAAAGGATGGTGGGAAATAGACGTTTGATCACTACAGTTTCTACCTTTTTCCTTTTCATTTTTTTTATTTTTATTCTTGAAAAATAAAAAAATAAATAAATAAAATTGTGACATTTTTGTTTTTGTATTTTTTATCCATGTACGGTCGGCTTGATACATGAAACTAGTTTGGATACAAAATTACAATTTTTTTTTTTTTTTTTTTAAAAAAAATTTCAATCATCTTTAACCAATCACCTTTTTTTTTAAAAAAAAAAATAAAAAATAAAATCTAACTCACATTGAACTATATCTCGCCATCCTCAATATTATCAATATAAATAATTAATATCACTCAATCATTCTTGCATACTAGTTTTTTATCCTGTGCAAATTCACAGAGAGAAACAAAATTTTATATATTATATGTACCTATATGATATTTAAAAATTTAAATTAAATAAAGTGTATTATATTTTAAAATTTGACTATATGTAAATGTAATATAAATATAAATTATTTAACTTTCATATAAATCATTTTGTTTTTGTTATTGTATAACAATAATAAAAAATAGGAATATTAGCTGCTGTAAAATAATTTAATATTGTATATTCAATAATTTAAAATATAGTAAAGTTGTTACGTAATAAAAAAATTATTATTAATAATAAGGTTTTAATGCTGGTCATAAAGTTTTTGAGTAATGCTATAGGTACATAATGTTGTACATAGAGGTGTACATAACACTCACATTGAGTGTAACGCACTAAAATTAAAAATCAAGTGGACCCCACTCCATGTGAGTATTATGTACATCTTTATGTACATTTATTATGTACATGTAGCATTTTTCAAATTTTTTTAATAAATAAAGTCGTATTTTTATTAATTGTTAACTGAATAAAATTTATTGAAGCTTACCAGCAATTATATACATAAAGATTATGTCAACTTTAGTTCACTATTTATATACTCACATAATTTTAACTAATCACACTTCATGTCACATCTCTCTTATTTTTACATTAAATTAATTTTAAATTATTTAATTTAAACATTATTTTAATATCAACTCAAAATCATACTAACAACTATCCATACCACTTTTTCCAAAATTAACAATACCAATACCAAAAAATCCAAACAAAATCAAAATTGTTGTGAAATATTTATTATAAAATAATGTATGTGAATGACTATTTTGTCCCTGATGTAATTGTATTATTACGATTGTGCCATCAGAAGTTTCCTATAAATAGGAGCTTCAGTTATAATGAAAATTGTACCTAAGAAAAACATTTTCTCTATTCCCTCTCTTTTCCTCTAGTTTTATAACACGTTATCAGCACGGGTCTCTACCCTCTAGAGCTCGATTTGTAATAAACGAGAGTATGCTATACAGTTGCGTCTTACAGACGATCTTCTGTACCAGAAATTAAATTATTACAAATCATTATTTTTTTTCATCCCGAAACTCTCGATTTTCTCATGTTCATTACAGTCCCTCATCACAACCTACATAAATTAAGAAGGATTAGCTTTTGGTTTTGGAAAGCTAGAGAAAGCAATTGTGCTAAAAAAAAAAAATATATGAAAATCCATAATGATCATTAGCCGTAGTCCCCCATCAGCACCACCAAAAAAATCAGCACCTTTTTATTCAATAAATAGTCATACTAAATAAAAAAAATAGAGAAAAATGTTCTCTACCTACTATTTAATAACAGAGTATCCTTGAAAAAAAAAATGAAATCTAAGGGCGAACAATGCAATATTCCTTCAAAGCATTTACATAGTTCGTCCTTTGGAACTTGGAGCTCTACTTTATGCACTTGGAGGTTTTACCTATATTATGTGGAAAATGAAAACCATAACATTCAGGCTTCCGTGGAAGCCTAGCAGAAGACAACCGAGTGGAAAATAAGAGTGGTGAACATTGCCTACTGACTATTGGCCACCTTCTCTTCGGGTAAGTAATAAATGTAGCATATTTTTAATTTTTAACTTGTTGCATAAAGGCATCTAAAGTTTTCTTAAAAGCACTCATTTGATAAAAAAATAATATCTCTTTTCAATATTTATCACATTAACATTGATTATATTTAACTTTATTATAGAATGGGACCATTGGTCCACTAATTCAATTCTATTATTGTTTTATATTTTAAATAAATATATATTTTGGAAGAGAGATCAAATGAGATGTCATAGTCATAGAAATATTAAAATAAATATGACAATGGATGTTGGTTGATGCATGTGCCGTAACAAACAACATCATGGACATTTAATGTCATGAAAAATCAATAAAACATTCCAATTATTCATTAAGCATTAAATAGATTTTTCTCAAATACAAAAGGCAAACAATATTAAAATTAGCGGTTTACGATTTTATAACATTTCATTTAAATAGAGCTTCATTTTAAGACCAATATTAATATGCTTTATTATATGATTATGAAATATTTGAAATTTACGGACATGTTGATATTTACTAATTGACCCTTGTGATATAAAAATAAATATGTGTGGCTACATATACCGGCCAGTGCGGCTCTGCCGCCGGTAGGTAATACTTAATGGTAGCCGACGGGTCAACTGTTAAAATATGAAAATTCATGGGAAAATGGCCAAGCAGTGGATCCACCGAAACTTGAATAACTAAGTGAATGGTCAATGTATTGAATAATGATGACCGATGATGGCCAAATGGTAAGTGTATTAATGATGGTCGATGATGTGGAATGGCCATGTGGTAAAGCCATGAGCAACAGATAGTACATAGATATGAATGGCTATATATACATGGGCCAGCCAGTACGGCTCTGCCGCCGACGACGGGCAATACAAATTAAGTGATAACCGATGAATGAAATGAATAATATTTTTTATCTGGCCATGTGAAAGTGAAATAAAGTCCTGATCGTGAAAGGAAATTATATGGAATAATATGATCCTGAAAATAATTGATAAATCCTTCAAATTTATGGAGTAACGAAAATTGATGAGATGATACCAGAAGTTACCATATGATACCAAAAGCTACCACATAATGATGAGATCATGGTGTAGTGATACTTGAAGCTACCACGTTATGATAAATTAAAGTGATGAAGTGGTACCAAAAGCTATCACTAGAAAATTGAACAATTTGAGAAAGTGGTATCATAAGCTACCAGTTATGGATGATCACACGAAATGATCTCTCAATATATTGTATGATTCTAAGGGAAGATATCTAATGACAAGATCGCATTGACAATATGAGATCATATAAATATTACGATGATGTGATCCAGAAAAAGCACACATGACAATAATTGTAGTCATGAAGCACTACACACTTCTTGTGGAAAGCGAAATTGATATTATTATTAATGATAAATAAGTACAGAAAGTTCATATGATGGAAATATGGAGAAGAGGCAGTACATACTCGATAAATACAAGATGCACAAATATTACATAATAGAACCCATAAAAGAAGGGTGCGTCTCGAGAGTATAAAACTCCATAACTCTGCCACCCACTATCATTATCTAGGTTCATAATGAGAGATCTAAAGGATCAAAAGCTCTTTTTCGCTTGACCCCTTGTGTTTCCACAGAATCAAAGTGATGCATTCTTGAAGTTTTTTTATAAGCTCAGCAGACGTATCTGCAAATTTGAATACTTCTCTCGTTGGAGGAGATATAAAGGTTTGATATACTCCTTGGTCTAAAAATCCAAGCAAACCATGAAAAGTTTATAAAATTTAATAGACCTATGGGCTTGTTATGAAGTTTCAATTCTGCCTAAGAAGCAATGGTGAACATCATCATTAGCGTTCCATAACCGCCTGGAAGAATGATAAATGCGTCGCTCTTGTTCACCATATCGATCATACAATCATAAATAGAATGAGTTAGCATCATGCATATAGAATTCTTGACGACCCTTGTTGAAGCTCTATGAAAAGGTATGATACTTTTCACTTCTATCTCAAAACATTTTCCAGCCAATAAAAGATTATCAAAGAAAGTGATGCTAGTCTCTCCATACAGTAAATTGATTTTTTGATTTCCCATATCCCTTACTAACTGACTCACAATATCAATATTTTGAGAAAAACTTACCATTCTAGAACCACCAAGAACACATATGGTTTTGATCGGTTGAAGAAATTTATTACATTGCGAAGACTCTGAAACATCCATCTATTTATTGATAAACTGAATTTTGCAAATTTTTATGAGGCATAAAATTATGAAGAACGACTCGCTATTTAAAAAGAAAGTTTTACAAAACGATAAATGATGTTACTGTTTTCTTCTGACAATTGCAACCGACAAATAAGACGTGAGATTTTAAATAAATCTTTTCTGTCAGCAGCTAGAAGATTTTCTAGAAATTACAGTGCAACATACTAAACTTCATTAGTATGATTTTTCGTAATAACAAGCCTAGTTTTACAAACATGATCTTTTGAAACAATATTTTCGTGTCTATAGCGTTCCTCTTCATTTTTGAAACTAATCCATAGAGACAGAAGCTCACGATGCACATACTTACTAGGATGTGTCTCAAGAATCTGTTGAATCGTTTGATCCATAGACTCCTTACTCAATCCATCCTTTATAAATGCTATTTTATCTTCTCGATTTTTGGACACGAACCCCACTGATTTACATCGTGTGTCACAAGTCCATCGAGCACATTTGAAGCATCCACCTAATCGTTTTGCTCTTCGTTTCTTTGCAAAAGTACTTTTACCCATACCTGGCATATATTTGTATGAATTCGGAAACTCTCCCGATAATCGAACTTTTGCTTCAATCAACCATCGAATATCACTTGGAACATCATTAATCATTAACACCCTCAATCTTTCTATTCGAGACCGATAAATTATTTTTACACTACAAAATAACACCCCCTTTTGCAACGTAAATATGTGTTGCTAAAAGTTCATATATACGTTGGCAGGGTCTATACCAACGCATCTTGTATGCGTTGCCTAAAGTGGCGTTGCAAGGATCTATTGCAACACTTATTTATGCGTTGGTAACATGTGGTAATAACCGTTGCAAAGTTGCAACGCATAATGTTTGATCATGGCAACACATATATGTGTTTGTACAGACCATGTGTGAATAGCCTCTATGGTTTGTTGTAACATATAAATTTGGTTTATTGCAACACTTATATGCGTTGTAAGGAATAAACCATTCGTTCATATTGATATTATATAATTATTTATTTTTGAGACAACAATAGAGATATTATTGTACAATTTAATAAAAATGCAATACCATCCAACATAAAATTAAGCACACTGAGCCATATGTGTATATATATATATATATATATATATATATATATATATATATATATATTATAAATAATTTGTCGCATTACAATGTACCATCCAAGTTCATGACACAATTTTTTGTACAAAGCACATGTTCCTATGTGAGCAAATATGAAACATATAAAAGATCCCTCCTAGCATGATAGCTGTCCTCCTTTCTCCTTCCTTAGCTCAGTCAAGCGTTCCTCTGTTGTGATCATATATCTATCTTCTCGATCTGCAAATTAAATGAAAATTAAATTAAATAACATGACACATATGAGAACTAAAATCATGTTGGGTTATAGAAAAGACCGTACAAGAGTTGAAGGCCATGCAACATGGACTCCTCCTTCTACATCTCTAAGAACCTTGTAGTTTTTGTATGGTCGTATCAATGGTTCATCTTCTACCATTACAAAACTAACAGAAACCATCCAAAATTCTTTGCCTAGCTGAACACCATCAAGTTTCTGTTTTGGATCACAACTCACTAGTTTACCCATTGCAACATTCTTATTTCGATTTTTCCATCTTTGTAAGTATACTTTGGTGCCAACCTGGTTCACAAATATATGCATACAATAAATAACCAGATGATAGATCACAGTCTGTCCAAGAAATTGAATAATCATACCTTCATTGTATTGCCAGTTGACAAACTTGTTGTGCCACGATGATTCTTCTACAAAAGTATATATGGGGATTCTTAGACTCTAGTTGTAAGAATATTCAAGAAAAGGATAAATGAAGTTTTAAGAGATGTGTCTTATACACTAGCAGGTACTGATGCACTAGGCCTTTTTGAGATCTTGTTCATCTGGTAACAAGTCAAAACCGATAACTTAGTTGTGGAAAATAAGCTAACAAAAATATCAATGCTAGAAAGATATTTACTTGGTACTGAGATGCTTCAAAATTTGAGGGAGTAGCATATGTTTCCTTTGAGATAACCTGTAATATGTGCTCGTTTTAATACAAAAAATTGATAAAGTTCATAGAACAGTATACTGCCATTCTGTTAGGAAACTCAGAAAGCAGTGGCAATAACGGTATTTAGCAATGAACAAAATATATTGCTTTGCATCCTTATATTAAGTATGGTGTGCAAACCTTATCGTTACTACAACTATCTTTGTAATGTGCTGTCAGATCCTCATTCTCCACATAATCATCTTGCTCCATCTGTAGTGAATAAGAATAAATTAATATATTTTTTCACCAACAAATTCTATAGGCAGTGCTTCATGAATACCTGTAAGCTAATATTTATTGTGGCTGGGGTAGATGAGTCCAAATTTGTGGTTCCATATGAGTGCTCAACCACCTTCTTTACAGAGGAACCAAAAGAATCTTAAACCAAAATACCTTACAGTGATTCATCACTGAAAAATAGCTTCCTTACCTGTTTCTTTGAGCTAAGAACATCTATTTTTCTCTGCATCATAAGTTTCTGCCTCTGCAAGCACAAGTCACAAGTCACAGTTAAAGGACAACATAAAATTCCAGTTAAAACGACAACCATTCCTAGCTTTCGAGTGCCAAACATAGTAAAATGCTCTCATCCATATTAGTGTGCATACCTTATGTACATGACTAAGGTTTTCGTAATCTAGCTGTAGATCATCATCCTCCACATTGTTAGCATGCTCATTCTGCGATGAAATAAAACAAATAAATCTTTGATATAAATCTGGTATGCAAAATCCAATTCAATTGTACCATTGTATCATTCAGAGGTCCATCCATGCTAGAATCTTGATTTTGAGGGTCACTATATACTCGCTGTTGATAGACAAATGACTACAAATTAGAACCAACTATTAAAAAAATACAGTATATTGTTGTTCTTGTATATTTTTAGAGGGGTACGTACCATTCGTTTCATATTTGGCACATCAGCACAATAGCCATCTTTAGATGCATAGACAGGATCACCATCCCTATGTCAAGGAATCAGAAGGTTAGTGTAGAAATGCTTAGAATAGAACTTTTGAAAATTTACCTTTTGGGTATGTTTTTGCAGATGTAGTATAGTGGCATCTTGATTTCGGAAATGCTGCCCAAGCTTCTCCATTTCAAGTCTCAAAGACACTACATCTTCACTTGATGTTTCATCTAGTGAAGTCAAATGTACACTCTTAAGGCGCTTTGAAGCACATGCGCCGAACACTTGATTAGGATTTGGAACAAGTCCCAAGCCATGCACATGGCCATGCCTTTCTTCTCCTAATATTTTGCTAAGTGCATCTCCTTTCCATGCAACCTTTCCTTGACTAGTCTCCGCTAAACATGGCTGCTGCTCTATAAGTTCCTTCAAAGCCTCCTATGCATACCACCAATAAAAATAAAAATAACATGAAAAATTACTGATGTAAACAATCAAAGACGAAGCATATACAAACAACGTACCACATGTGCATTTGTGTCCTCACTTTTAGTCTGGTGTGTATGGAGATACAAAACAGCTCTGTGAGGGTTTTTCTTCTCAGGATCTTTTTCCCTCTGCGAACATGAAAAATAGATATAAAGAACTTCATAATCATTAGCATATAGATGTAGCAAGAGTACAGTTTGAGTTATTAAAGAATTTACCAACTCCTCTCTGTTTCGAGAAAAACTCTTTGTTCCAGCTGTATGTGTTTACTTCTTCTTTGTACAGTTTACTCTGTTTTTCTTACTTATATCCTACCAAATAATGATGAGATATAGAAAAGCATTTAGGTTCCATAAATGTTTATTAAATCTACTGGGCATGGAAATCACACAAATATGAACCCAACATGTCCATGTACCAGTGCTTTTTGTGTCGTCCAATAATCAACAAGCGCAATACACTGATAACCATGTACACCGTCAGGAACATTACTATATGGTTTTCTTTTGTGCTCTTATGCTCATCAAAATATATTGATTTCAGATTAGACTTGTGTTGCCTCCATCTCTCTCCAGTGGTTCGAAGTATCCATTTTTCCATGCGAGAATGGTACAGGAATCTCATCTATATATGCCAAAAAAAACACATCAGTAAACAATGAAAGTGAAGTATCAAAAAGTATAAAAAATCGAGAGAAAAGTATAAATCGAGAGAAAAGTATCAAAAATTACCAACAAGGTTATACAGTGCCTAGCTGAACTACGTACCTTCACTTGCTTAAGTATATCCTTTTTATTTTTTTGTTCATCTGTGTTTTTCTCTTTCTTTCCTATGAAAAGTCTCCAATCCTTATAGCTCAAGCTACACAAGCAACCATTCCTAGCAACCATGCCAAGAAATTTTCCAAGAAACTCAGCCTCTACTCCAATTGGTTGATCCAGCTCATTGCATCTAACCACGATTCTGTGACCTTTTGGAAGGTTCCAGATATCTTTCAGTTTCGTCTTTCCACGCTTTACTCTGTCTTCACTTTCATCTATGTAGTGTACGGAGCACAAAATATTCAATGATAAATAGATAACACATTCTAGTAGTAATAAAAAAAGTTGCAGTAGGTTAGTAAGTACCGTGGAAATTAACCTCAATATCACCATCACCATCAATCTGATCTCCTCTAGCACTTGAATGGAGTTCAGATGCCTCAGTAGTTTGTCCATGGCTCTCTTGTCCAATATGCTCTTCTGACAAATATTCATCATGACTCTGAATTATCTGTTTCCTTCTACCCCTTGCCACAGCCACTGAAGAGCCAAAATAGTATAGTATATATAGGTCAAACCATGATACCCTGGTCTGAATTTTTTTTATTTTGCCTAAACTAATATTTTCAGTACTGAACACAAGATCTATAGAAGAACATATGACTAAAACTAAATACATGCTGATGTTTTTGTGATGCCAGATTCAATCAGAGCCAATTTTGTATGGATGCTGCGTGGTAAAATATCATTTTCTGTTACCTGAAGCACGAGCGCCTGGCACCTTCACTGCAAGAATGTAAATAATAAATTAAAACAAAAGGAAGGCTTCCATTGTAACTACAACTTGTATATAGAAATTAAAGGTACAAATCTTATCATAGACTTTACTGTTTATAGTAAAATTAGAGGACTAAATTATATGATCATTATAATACCTTTGGTTTTATTTGGTTGAGATTTGGATGGTTCTTTGTTGGAATTGGTAGGCGCTAATGTGGCCAGTCTTTGCTTTGTCACAAACAAGCTAACCATCTTTTGGCTCTCACACTCCTCAAGCATTTTCATGACCTGAGGATCTTGTTCTATTGCAACAAGGCCATCTTTTCTTCTGTAGTATATATAGTCAACTGATGTGTACCCATAATGCTCGATCATTTCCATCAAGTTGAAGTAGCATATCTCATCTCTATCCATTTTCTTTTGCACACGTTTCTCTCCTTTATCAGCCCCATCGCATAGAAGATTTATGGTCCACATATCCTCAACCATGGTATCACAATGCACAATCTAAATAAAATTTAGCACCAATAGAAAAATAAGAATAAAGCATAGGTTAATTTTCAAATAAATAACAAGTGTAGTGGTATCTGAATAGGTTAATCCTCGGCCATGGTATGCGATTGGTCTTTGTAACGTTATCTAAATAAGAAGCCAGCAGTAGCTGAACAAGCTGGGAAATCAAATGTTCAGCATGTATCCATAGAAAATGCATTGAACATATACTTTTTATATTCATTGAATGTCCAATACGTTAGCCTAGCCACAAATAAGTAGCATAACTAAATTCATTGCCAAGACCAAGACATCCCTTAAAAACCTTAAAAAGTACATTGAATTTTTTCAAAACCTTAATAAGTAAATGAAAAACAGCACCTCAGTTTGTTGCAGCTTATAGTTGTAAACTGTTTCCAATTGGGCCTCACCAGTCCAATACTTATGTTGCACCAATAGAACACTAAAGTACTGCAAATTAACCACAAAATATGTAAATTGGAGTAAACTCACCCACATAAATAAATAAGTAGGAAAGTACAGAAGTCTGATGGAAATAAGGACATAAAAATGGACTATTAAACAATTATCCTCATATTGATGAATGATGAGTAGAAATTTCATTATATTCCCCATACCATCTTATGATGCATAGCTCTGTATTTTAGCTTTTGACTGAAATTGCAATTTCTATTTTAACTATTATCAAAACCAGATCTAAGGTTCTATTATTACTGTCCGAAACAGAGGAGACGAAACGTCGAAAGTTACAGAATACAGATTCAAATACAGAGACAGTACATACGTTTTTTTTAATTAAATTTGTTTTATTCTTTGAGATTCACTGCACACGTATTTTCTAAGAAGGTTTTAATGTCAATAATTCCAACTTTTACAAATGCTTTTTTCCTTGACTACCACCTGGGTTAGGAGTTACTGATTAATGAAACATGGAACCCACTCAATTTGATTATACAAATTTCAATACTTCAAGAAAAAATGCAAAATGCTACCGTTAAAATTTATACATACCCTCAAAAGATGTCAAAATATTATTATATAGAAAGATCAAACAGCAGTACTCACTGGTTGCACAACTCCCTCTCTCGCAAACACCGGTCGAACCGCTGGGCTAAGAGGCGGCCAGGGAGACCGAGACGAGAGGAAACCGTCTCTTTCGGCATATGCGCCCGCCCGCGACGATAAGTCTCGGCGGTTCCAAAATCAGGGGGCGGTTCCCAGGTAATTTTCACACGTTCCACTCCAGTTAGTCTCTATGGATGGTGGGGCCATTGTTAGATTTCTCAATAATAAATAGATTACAAGATGAATGGCGGGAGCCACAAAAAACAAAAAAAAAAAGTGATTAAGCTGAGTTTAAAATAAAAATAGGGTTATTAGTGTCTGGAAACCCTACAAGCTGAGTTTAAAATAAAAATAGATTACAAGATGAATGGCGGCGGCCAGTAAACCCTACAAACCCTACAAGAGAGGAGATTCACGATCCATACAAAAGTCTGATGACTCAACCTATTTAGCGGTAGACCGTCATCTCGTACAAGATTTTATGTTTATTGAATAATTTGAATTTTATTTTATTATAAAAAAATAAATAAGAACAAAAGACCAAATGTTTATACAAATTATGCATCAAATCTTGAAATATATATAAATACATCAACTTAAGAATTATAGTGTTGGTAGAGTTATTATAACATAATTTTTTGATCGTGTTCGTATTAAAAAAAAAAATGCACAACGATCAAAATAACACTGTCCACACAGTAGGATCATGGTAGTTAGGGTTGTTATCGAACCGAGCTGTTCGCGAACAAAACTCGTTCGTGTTCGATAAAAACTCGTTCGTTTAGCAATCGAACCGAACTCAAACAAGAAATTATGTTCCTTTAGTTATCGAACGAACACGAACAAGTTCGGGAACTAATCAAGCGTTCGCGAACAAAAAAAATATTTTAAAATTTTATATATTATATATAGTATATACATGTATAATATAATATATAAATATGAATATATATTAAATATTAAATAAAATAACTTGTATGACATTAAAATAAAAAAAAAGTTAATAGAGTGTGAAAATAAAGACCTGTATTTCAGAATCAGGATATTTCAAATTCTCATTTAGAGTATAGAGTAAACTCTTTCTGGTCTTCAGAGACACTTGAGCTTGAGAAATGCACTCGATAAAGCGAGAAATAGCAGACCGCATTAAAGTGCATAATTCTTAAGCAAGTTGTGTTCAACTTCACAACATAAAGATCAGTTTGATTGGCTGAAAAAACAAAAAATGCCTATCCAAAAGCTATACCTCCACGAAAAGTAGGCTAAGAAAAATAGATGAAAATAACCCAGGACTATTTCTACATTGAACAATTAAACCCAAGTGAACTGGATATTCTTGCCAGCAGATTTCTACATAATTCAACGGCAGCAACAGATTCCCAAAGGCAGCTCTTTCCAATATCGTCAAGCAAAGGTCTGAGCCAACCTTCATACTCTGAAATCTTCTGGAGCTCGACCCCAAAAGACATGGGCAATTGCTAAACAAACAGCAACAAACCATAAAAAAAAGGGCGTAAAAAACTGCACGAGCGACAAGCCAAGAGAAAAAGGTTTTAAATAAGAGGAACATTACTAGGCAAACAGAATCGGGCCTGATGACCACGACCTGAATAATACAAACCATGTAAAAGAAACTTGTCAGCTGTTACATAATCTGTGTACAGCTATACAATATTGAGCAGTACAAAAATCAAACATATCTAACCTTTAGTTTTGATGGGCTATCAATCTTCTTCATCAGAACTTCTACTAGGATCTACATCTTTTTACTGTACAGTTGTACCCTCTATATCTTTTCTAATCCACGAACGACTATTATGTGAATTAGCAAAAAGGTCCTCAAGAGTACTAACATGATAAGGTTCACATTCTACATCATTCCATTCTTCTCCCATCTCAAAATCATCTTTTGGCTTCATCTTCAATGCAACTGACCATCCTGGGTTGTTATAGTCATCATCGACATAGAACACCTGGTCAACTTGATCGGCAGATACAAAAGGCTCATGTTCAATCCTATCACCCTTGTGAATTTGCTGTGAGAAATTCACAAGTGTACATCCAAATTTATCTGTTTTCACTCCCTTTCCTCGAGTGACATCAACCCATTCACATTTAAACAACACCACTGAGAATCTTCCATAATTGTCCAACTCAACTATATTAAGTATCCTGCCATAGTAGGTAATATCTCCAAGGATAGGGTTAGTATCTCCTGTAGAAGAATAACTTGATGTTTTTGCAGTCACAACAACCCCACTATTTTGCGTCGTCTTGTCATAACTTTTGGCTCTAAATCTGAAACCCTAGATGCTAAAGGCTCTGTGTCTTCTTGCTGCATCCAATGGGCCGCGAGCCAGCCATCTAATGTCCTCATCGATGCTATCACTACCATGTTTTTGCTCCAACTGCATGATCTGTAACATCACAAAATATACTTAGGTCAATTTATCCTCTTTTTTGAAGATAAAATAAACCATGATACCTACATGTTCTCTGAACCAGATCGGAAACTCTTTATTTTGTATATTCTCAATTTGTTTCAAAGATAGACGACGTTGACGATTTCTTCTTTTGAGATCAGCAGCATGCTCTCTAAAAGAAATTAACACGGATTCAGTTTTAAAGGAACATATGTAAAATATGTTGATAGATGTCAGTAACACTTACTTCAAGTACGGAATGACAGCTTTACAATTGTATAGTACATATCTATGTGCTTGCAGTTTCTCTAGATCAGTTAAAATAAAACTGGATGGTCTTCCCAATGGTTTTCCTACAGGAGGAAACAAAGAGGAAACTTCTCCAAATAAGTCAGATTCTTGATGATCCTGGTTCTCCTCATTCCTTGATGGTTTGTTATGCTTTGTGGAGAAACCTTCTAAGTACCTAGAACAAAACACCATACACTCATCTGCCAAAAATGTATTCGCTATTGAAGCCTCTGGATGAGCTTTATTGCGAACATATGATTTCAATTTGCATAGGTACCTGTAACATATGGAAAAGCATCAAATTTAGTATCTTATATATAATAAATAACCCAAACAATGAAATGGTATTAGTAAGAATTAGTACCTTTCGATGAAGTACATCCATCGATAACAAACTGGTCCACCCAACTTACATTCAGTTGCTAAATGTACTGCTAAGTGAACCATAACTGTAAAAAATCCAGGAGGAAATATCATCTCCATTTTGCATAGTGTAACTTTAATTGATTGTTCCAAGCGGTCAAGGTCATCTAAACGGAGCACTTTTGAACATATTCCTCTAAAATAAGTAGACAAATCAAACATTACTGATGTGATATCATCTGGAATAATTCCCCTTAGAGCAATAGGCATGAGCTGTTGAAGTAGAACATGGCAGTCATGTGTTTTGAGACCAATAAGTTTCCCTTCAGCACAATTTACAGATTTTGATATGTTTGCAGAGTAGCCATCAGGAACTTTTATGCCTTGAAGCACTTTACAAAATGTCTGTCTCTCACTTTTAGACATAGCAAACCTTGCAGGTGGAAAATAGAACTTGCCTGAAGGTTTTTCTTGTGGGTGGAGCTCCTCTCTAATGTTCATCTCTTTGAGGTCTTTACGAGCTTGTAAATTATCTTTTGACTATCCATCTAAACCAGATAGTGTACCATAACAATTTTCAAATAAATTCTTCTCTATATGCATCACGTCAAGATTATATCGAAGAATATTAGCATCCCAATAAGGCAATGTGAAAAGACTACTTAGTGACTTGTAAGTTTTTGAGTCCTTGAAATTACCTAATTCAGTGATTTCATCCAAAATTGGACGGTCATAATAAGTTTTTGGCTCTTCTTGAAGCTCCATTGTTCCATCAAAAGAATCCTTGTCCAAACGAAAAGGATGCTCAAGAGGAAGAAATCGACGATGACCCATAAAACAAGTTTTATTACCATGCTTCAGACATTTGTACCATACATTTTCACCACAAGGTAGACATGCAAAATTTCCATGAACCATATGAGAAGCAAGAATTCCCAAGCCAGGTAGGTCACTAATGGTCATTAGCACTGCTGCTCTCAAATCAAAAGTTTCATTTATTGATGCATCATATGTTGCCATACCATTTAAAAATAAATCTTTTAGATCCTCCAAAAGTGGTTTAAGGTACACATGAAGTTTATCCCCAGGACTTTTAGAACAAGGAATTATTAAAGACAACATTAGATAATGCTCTTTCATGCAAAACCACGGAGGTAAGTTATATATTACCAAAACAACTGGCCAACAACTATATCTAGAACTCAACATCCCATATGGATTAAATCCATCAGTGGCTAAGCCAAATCGGGTATTCCGTGGATCTGATTTAATTAGTGGAAACTTTTCATCAAAGTCTGTCCATGCACGGGAGTCAGCTGGATGTCGTAGCGCACCATCCTTGATACGCTCTTCATCATGCCATCTTAGGAGAGGTGCTGTTTGTTTGCACATAAAGAGCCTTTTCAGTCTGTCTTTAACAGGAAAGTATCTTAACACTTTACAAGGTGTTGCTTTCCTTCTTTGCTTCTTTGTTAGTTTGGTCTCAGGCTCCATACCCTTCCACCTAGAAGCCTTGCACTTTGAGCAAAAATCATCATTTGCCTTGTATTTCCAAAATAGATCACAATCATTTGGGCACGCATGAATACTTTCATAGCCCAACCCAAATTTGGAAATAATTTTCTTAGCCTCATAAAAATTTTTGGGTAGATCCTTTCCATTTGGAATAGCCTTCTGCAAAATATCAAGTAGATCAGCTAATGATTTATCTGACCATTTGTTCATGGATTTTACATTGAACAAAAGCACAAGTAAAGTTAGTTGCGTTAAATCACATCCTTCCCATAAAGGCTTTTGTGAATCTTCAACAAGTTTATAGAACTCTTCTGCTTCTAAATTTGGCTCGCTAATAGGTGGATTCGGAAGATTTCCAGCATCTGTCATAGGTATGTCATCATACAAGTGATAAAATGCCTCACGAAGCATCTGATTCATGTTGCCATACCTTTCTTCATTCTTAGATTGAGGTTGTTGATCAATGGTGTGCTGCACTGAAGGTTCACCATGAACATCCCATCCTTGATGCACTGAAGGGTCACTATGAAAATCCCATTGCTCATAATTCTCAAGTATCCCATTGCAGACCAAATGTTCATATCTTTTATCCCTGGATAAGAGACTAGTATGCACGCATTCATGACATGGACAATAAATCTTGGTATCTTGGGGCTTATTTTTGAATGCAAATTCAACAAATCCTTCTACACCAGCTAAGTACCGAGAAGAACCTTTAGGATAGCCCAAAAGAACCTTGATGATCTTTAAATCCATTGTGAAACCATAAAAAGCTCTTGTTGTATAAATAGATAAATAACATCTGTAAGTTCATATTTATTTGTCAACATTTGATTTGGATCCCTTTAGGTTACATTATCACAACTATTTTGCCTAAGGACAAATTATAAACTAGACAATTGTAACCAGCAGGAAAGAAGATGTCTAGCTTCTAGGGAGAAAGATTGCTATTTTCGTTCCAGTCAGATAATTAGCAAACTACTCCAGCAAGAGCAGAAAATGATTCTAGCAAATCATAAATTTAGCAAATCACAAATGTAGTAAAAAAATATCACTACAGACTGTGGTCCAGATACATATATTTGATTTGAATGCTAAAAATCCCATATTTTTTTCTGAAATTATTCACATATTTGTTGCTACGTGCATTAATGAAAAATGCGTGAAATATGGAAAATTCTTGTAATCAACACAGATTCGAAAGTAAATAGCTCGGCATATAAAGTATCAAGCTAGTAAAGAAGATTCGGAATGATGAAAATCAACGCACAAACACAATGTCGGACTAAGATCCAATCTATTGTTTTGAAACAAATCCGTACATGCAGAAAAGATTTGTGAATACTAAGTGGCATCACAATCCTAATACAAACTAAAACAGGGCAGATCACGACACATACTCTGCATCCTTAATATCACCAAACCAAAGGAATTTTGATACTCTCCTCATAGCTAATGCAATGACACCTTGCATGTTTGACACAAATATGTCGGGCCTTCGCACAGTGCAAAAATTTATCTCTCAAAAACTTATAACGAGCGACTCATACGAATACATTGCCCATAAATTTATTTTGCCTCAACATACCCTCAAAACATAATATATCCAAAAACCTACCGAATTACTACCTTCATTTGAACCGTTAAATTAACATGTATTTTGAAGCTATTCCAGTTGAGATTTATCTTAATTCAGATACGAGTAATAAAGCAGATAAAAAAGCTAATTTGAGCACAGAACAAAAGCATTAAACTAAATCTTTCAAACTGCAGAAAAAAAACTGAGATACTCTGTTCATGAGCGCATTCAAACAATCAACTAGTAGGTGCAAAACCAACACACAGCTGAAGTGAAACAAGACAAAACAGAGCAAGGTCAAGAACTTGAAATGTCAAATGGGAATCCTACACTGGCATGGATAAAAAACACGAGTCTTACAGAATACGAAATCTTAAAGTTTAAGAATAGACATCATCTCTAAAAACACAGTTTTTCTATGGAGTCTCATAGAAACTAGAAACACACTTATAATAAGAAGGGAGCAAATGAAAATAGAAAAACTCGCATTGGGTTTAGGGATAATTAGGCTCGAACTGGTGACTTCCACCACGTATTTCTGAAAGAAAGAGAAAAAGATGAAAAAAAAATCAGCTGACATCTAGGGTGTTCTTCAGGCCTCTTCTAGAGATCATCCTTGCTAGTAACATGGAAAATCTAGTCAATTGAGAGCCGCGAGAACCAATAACAAAGAGGCATGATAGAACTCCTAGAAAATTATGTAAAATAAATTTCTGGGCAATGATTTTCTGCAATGAAAACTTATGAACTATGCTAATGCTTCCAATTTGGTAATGACAGCAATAAACCTAAATTACCCAAGATTACAGATTACCTAATAACATCAAACCCAGTGGTGAATGAATATTAACATTGTGGTATGCTGTGACTGAATATTAACAGTAATGCTTGATATCGATTTAATTAATTGAACGGGGTACTCACAACTAATCATTGAGGGTAAAAGTGCACGATATCAACAAAGAGATGTTGATTTGTTTAATCGGTTGAAGAATTCAAGAAATACCCTGATGGTCTGCTGCTGGGTGCTCACAGTCGTCTCGCCAATGGCTGCGTCCTCCGCTACTGCTTTTGTGGTGTCGCCCAGCTACACTTGCGCGGAGCTACGAAGAACACGGAACCGGATGGGGCGATGCAGCACGAACAGGGAGGCGGCGGCGAGATTAGCTTGCGTACAGGATCTGTTGCTATCTTATTCCTTGCAACAAATAAATATTTCTATCT